CAGCCATTGTCTTAAGACATTACTTAAGACAGTCTTGAAATAAGAATCGACTATGAATATCGGCCTTAGAAATCTAGTGACTTTACAAAACAGCCCCAAGAAACCGCTCTCTCGTGCGCGCCAATTCGAAGGTGGAGCCTAGAGTGCGACACTGTGTCACGCGGCGTGTTGTCGCGTGTTGCCACATCACCATCGTACCCAAGCGCATTTCGAAGCGTGTCCCCCGCGGTGTGTAGATCGCGCTCGCGCCGATCGCAGGCAAGATCGTCAGCCACTTCGTAACAGCCGCGATTATACGTGGAAAGGAAAACGTGAGAGAGCCCTGGGTCACCTGTCTCTGCCCCGCGTACGCCAGTCAATATGACGACTCGTCATTCCTGAGTTCGCAGTTCTCCTCACAAGAGAGAAAGAGAGAGAGAGAAAGAGAAAGAGAGAGTGAGAAAAACTCCTTTCTTTTTTCCTCCCAAACGTACCACGAGGAACGATAAATTGCGGAGTCACGAGTACAGCTGCTATCGAACCCTCGACCTAAGAAAGCGCACGTGCTGATCACTGGAACGAGCGCACCGTCGTCGATCGCACCGATCTTCCTGTTCGAGGGCCATCGCGCGGCATCATGAGTGCACCTCAGGCACCAGTGAAACTGCGCAACGGGGTGGTGAAGCAGGTGAGGAACCGGACGCCACCGGACCTTTCTCGTGGCTCTCGCTATTTGCGCCGTGCCGACCGCAACGTTGACCCCCTGCCCGCTCATCCAGTTGGCAGGAACCACACCGTTGAACATATGGTTGCAATCTGGAGTACCATTGCAGCAGCCTGCCATGTGATGCTTCCTAAAATTCCTTAGATATGCATCACGTTAATGAGAATGTTTTCACTGCCCCCTTTATTTTTAATTTATTCGTCGTTGAGCGACGAGAGTTTGTCGCGGGAAAGTTCTATGAAAGATAGCAATTGCGTAACTGGTACTCAATCCAAAATATGATATGGTGTTGGATATTTTGGAATACAGTTTTCTCATGCTGCAAAATTTTATTCTAAGAATAACATCAAATATTTGTTGCGTTAATGTTCTCACTAGCTCCTTACTTTTTAATTTATTTCTTGTTGAGCGTTATGATTTAGGAAGTTTTTGGAAAGATATTAGCAACTGCGTAATTGATATTTTAATCTAACAATAAGATATAATATGGTGCTGGATATTTTAGGATACTTTAAGATTTTTTACACTAAAATTTTAATTCTAAAGATAATATCAGATATTCATCACGTTAATGAAAATATTTTCATTATTTTCTTGCTTTTTAATTTATTTCTTGTTAAGAATGTTGTGATTTAGGAAGTTCTATGAAAAGATTAGCAGTTTTGCAATTAGTGTTCTAATTAATCTGAGATACATGGTGCTGGATATTTTAAGATTTTGCTTTCTCATGCTGTTAAATTTTAATTCCAAAGGTGACAAATCTTCATATTAATAAGAATGTCCTTACCGTTTCCTTGCTTTTTAATTTATTTCTTGTTGAGTGTTAAGATTCGAAAAAGTTCTATGAAAGATACTAGCAATTGCGTATTTGGTATTCTAATCTGAAATATAATATCTTACTGAATATTTTAAGATACTTTGAATTTTCTCATACTACAAAATTTTAAAGGTACAAAATCTAAAAGTGATAGATATTCTTCATTTAATGAAAATGTTTTTATTGTTTTTTTGCTTTTTAATTTTATTCCTTGTTGAGAGTTTGTTACAATTCAGGAAAGACATTAACATCTTTATGAAAATTGCATAAGAAATTAGCAATTCAATGAAAGCTATTATGATTTCGTAATAAGTATTCTGTGTATAATCTAAGATATAATGTAAATATTTAGGAATGCTTTAAGCTTTCTCACACTGCAAAATTTTAATTCTAAAGGTGACATCGGGAGATACCGTTGTCATCCGTGGACAACCTATGGGCGGTCCTCCACCTGAAATGACAATCACTCTGTGCAACATTACTGCTCCAAAATTGGAACGCTGGAAAGGAAATGACAGGTATGTAAAAATGCAAAAATTCGTGTACTATACAAAATTATTACTTATAAAGATTTTTCTTAATTTTCTGGTTTTTGGACTAAGCAGAGATTTATATAAGTTAATTCACAATTTTTATAATTTAATTATAAAATTAAAAAATAATTTACATATTTGTAGCATGGATGAGACCAAAGATGAACCGTATGCTTGGGAAGCAAGAGAGTTCCTACGTCGAAAGTTGATTGGCCAAGATGTTACTTTCGCAACTGAAAAGTCGATTAACACTGCTAGAACATATGGAACTGTCTGGTTAGGAAAAGGTATTTATTGTTTGTGATACACTGTACATTTGCTAGTACTTGGAAAATCGGCTATGTTCAACAGAAAAAACAGATTTACAACTGTAAACTTTTTTAATTATGGTATGAATAGTTTATACATTTAGATCCTGTGAAGAATTAAAAGCAAGAACCAAAGATTCTTACAATAGTGCTTTTTCGGCTAAATGCAGCCAATGGCGAAGTTTTCTTTGCTGAGATAGAATTGTTCCTCTAGATCTAAAATTATAATCCAGTCAGTGTAAAGAAAACTTACAACAGTTGTAAAGTAAACATTTTATTGAATATGGCGGTGATTAAATTTTTGCATCTAATCATAATTGTTATGCAGACAGGAATGGTGAGAACGTAATTGATACTTTGGTGTCCGAGGGTTTGGTGACCGTTAAGAAGGACAATCGCAATCCTACGGCTGAACAACAACGGTTGATTGAACTGGAGAATATAGCGAAACTCGCAAAGAAAGGAAAGTGGTCGGATTCACCGACTTCCGAGCATATACGGGACATCAAGTGGACTGTCGACGATCCTCGGAAATTGGTTGAGAAATTCAGCAAAAAGCCAATCAAAGCAGTAATTGAGTTTGTCTTCGACGGCTCTACTGTGAAGGCTTTCCTCTTGCCTGATTTTTACAATATAACGCTGATGATCTCGGGTGTTCGCTGTCCTGGCTGGCCGAATGGTCGTCGCGAGAATTCCGTGGGCGATCCTTATGCGGACGAAGCTAGATACTTTGTGGAATCGCGGCTCTTACATAGGGACGTCGAAATAGTGCTGGAGTCGGTCAACAATAATAATTTCATTGGCAGCGTTATTCATCCTAAGGGTAAGTTTGTTAAAATCTGGCGTTTTAACACTAAAAGTACCAAGAAGTCATTATTGACTGTTTTTATTTTTTAAATTAATTTTTTATGTAAAAAATAAGAGTCTGAAACTTTTAATAATTATTATGTCCTTTATACTGATGAAATATTAATTAGTTGTCATGTTTTTTTAATTTTATAATTTATTTGCTTGGTCCTCTTTTAGTGAGTAAGAAGTTGGTATTTCTAGTGTTAAACATCTGGCAGTGAGCAGCGTATGCTAAATTATGTACAAGAAACGTTCCAAATAATTGAATTTAATTATAATCAATTTTTTTATTTGTATTAGGAAACATCGCTGAAATTCTGCTGAGCGAGGGTTTCGCGAAATGTCAGGATTGGTCGATCAGCAACAGTAGATCCGGCGCGGAAAAGCTGTACCTCGCTGAGAAAGCCGCGAAGGAGGCACATTTGCGATTGTGGAAAGATTACAAACCCTCCGGGCCACAGATCGAGTTTACCGGCACCGTTGTGGAAATTGTTAATGCGGATGCGCTTATTGTTCGGACTCAGAACGGGGAAAACAAGAAAGTATTTTTGGGTAGTATTCGACCGCCCACCCGTGAAAAGAAGAACGAGGACAGCAATAATACTACTCGATCGAAAGATTTCAGACCTCTTTATGATATACCGTGGATGTTGGAAGCGCGAGAATTTTTACGCGAAAAATTCATCAGGAAAAACGTAAAAGTGGTAGTCGATTATACGCATTATTACCCTGCTAGGGATAATTTCCCAGAGAAGTTATGTTGCACCGTAACTTGCGGCAAAACGTAAGTATAAATCGATCTCTGAAATAGCGAATTCGTTACTTGCAGTACATTAAATTAGTATACTAAAACTGCTATATAAATATTTTAAATTATTAATATTATTAACTACTCTCATATATTTGCCTTGTTCTTTTAAACTTAATTTTTTGCTCATTTTTTCCTCTTTTTTCTCTAACATGGAGAGAAAAAGAAGAATGACGATCCAAGAAGTTAAGTTGCAAGAGAATAGGCTTATAATCACGTTATTTAACAGAATATACATGTATCAATTCATTGTCGAAGTTGATTATATTATATAAAGTTGATTATGTTATATAATAAAGTATTTAAATGCCATTGCATTTAGATGTTTTATATAAAGCAGCCTTTATAGGAGTGTAGGTGAATGATTAAATTCATCATAAAATTTCGCCTTCTAATAATTTAGAAAAAAAATTATTATTTAATAATTATTAAAAATTTTGTAATAATTGATAATTCTGTCTTACTTTGCCATGCCAACAGGAATGTTGCAGAAGCACTGGTTGGTCGAGGTCTTGCGCGAGTAATCAAGTACAGGCAGAATGACGATCAGCGTTCCTCTCAGTACAATCTCCTGCAAGTGGCTGAAAGTAAGGCAGAAAAATCGCAACACGGACTGCACGCAAAGAAAGACATTCCAGTTCACAGAATAGTGGATCTCTCGAACGATCCCTCGAAAGCAAAAGCATTCTTGACTTCGCTTAAACGAGCGCAGGGAATCAGAGCGGTCGTCGAGTTTGTGACGAGTGGCTCGCGACTGAAACTCTATCTTCCCAAGGAAGACTACATTATCACATTCGTGCTGGCTGGAATAAGAACTCCGCGTTGTCAGAGAACATTGCCCGGCGGTGGTGTGATGAAAGCCGACGAGTACGGCGAGAAAGCTCTCGCTTTTACTAAGGAACACTGTTTCCAACGAGATGTGGAGATCAAGATAGAGAACACGGAAACAAAGTTGAGCGGTTTTATTGGTTGGTTAACGGTGAACGATGTCAATATGTCTGTTGCTCTGGTTGAAGAAGGTCTGGCTGAGGTTGTAAATTTTCCGGACTCTGGAGAACTCACCAAAACTCTCAAAGCCGCAGAGGAACGTGCAAAAGCGAAAAAGCTTAATGTAAGTAAATATGCTTAATTATTAGATAATGTACTTCATTAAAGAAACTGAAATATATCTTGCGTTCTGTAGATCTGGAAGAATCGCGTGGAAGCGCCAGTAGAAACCGATAAGATTGTGGATGAAAAGGAGGGGCAAGAGCGGAAGATCGATTACCAAAAGGTTGTGATTTCTGAAGTTACTGACGATCTTCATTTCTACGCCCAGTTTGTCGATCAGGGTAGCTTGTTGGAGAGTATGCTTCAACAATTACGTCAGGAATTAGCCGCCAATCCGCCACTTCCTGGCGCTTATAAACCGACCAGGGGAGATCTAGCGGTCGCGAAATTCAGCGGTGACGATCAATGGTACCGCGTGAAAACGGAAAAGGTTTCCGGTACCAATGTCAGTGTATTCTACATCGATTATGGCAACAGGGAGACCCTTAATGTTACGCGAGTTGCCGATCTACCTGCGCGTTTTGCAACTGATAAACCATACGCTCACGAATATGCACTTGCATGCGTGACCCTTCCGAGTGACGTAAGTAACGAATTCTTATAAAATTTATTTTCAGAAAATAAATGTATTAACGAAAAGACACCTGTTGATGATATTTTTACAGACGGATGACAAGAGAGCGGCGGTGGATGCGTTTAAGGAAGATGTTTTGGATAAAATTTTGCTCCTAAATATCGAATACAAGCTAAGCAACAACGTAATTGCCGTGACTCTGATGCATCCCAGTACAAATGAAGATATCGGGAAGGGTATTATTTCTGACGGATTCTTACATGTTCAAAAGCATCGAGATAGAAGACTTACTAAATTGGTTAGTCAATTTCTTCTATATTCGTATCCATCTACTGCGATAAAATTTCTATCTTATTGAAATATGAATTCCCGAATCCATTTTTATAACATTGTCACTTCAAAAAATCGAGGCAAATCATGGAATGAAAATCGAACTCATTATTTACCGATTATGGAATCGACTACTTTTATGGAAAGCCACGCGTCATTTCTATTGCGATAAAATTTATTATTTATATACTAAAAGAGAGAAAGAGGATTAAAACGAATAATCAAAAGATGCTAAATAAAGATAAGTTTTATTTTAAAACGTAATAAAATAATTTCTTTTCTTTCTTTTACTGTACTGCTTTCTGAAAACGAGGCTTTGTGTCTATATTAATTAAAAATTTATTATATTTATATGTATGTGTTAATTATTTACAGATCGAGGAATACAAGAAAGCCGAGGAGGATGCAAAGCACAATCATCGTAATATCTGGATGTACGGAGACGTAAGGCCAGAAGACGATGACAAAGAATTCGGGTTGTAATTCATAATGAATGCTCAATAATTTGGGATAAGCATTATCAATATGGGGGAAAAGAAAAGACAAGATCGTGTTATAAAAAAAAACACAATATAATAAACAACAGAATATACGAATCTATGTATCGCTGCATAGATAAAAAAATAACAATGATGAATGTCGATATGAGAGCTACATGTCGCGTTAGTCTCAATGCAATTATATATCTCAGTATATAAAAAGACAATTGTACATAACGATTTTAATAATTTCTGTAATACAATGAAAGGAGCGCATGCAGTCCTTGAATGAGACTATGCAGCCTTTGGCCGGCATTGCATGTATTCTCATCGACATGAACATTTGTTATTAATTTGGTGCCACAAATACAAATTGTTTGAGGACCTGATATTTTCAATCCGATATGAAATTTTCAATGTGCAATTCATCACGTTAGATACACCAATCATGTTATATATATTAATTGCTTTTCCTATGGATAAACAACAATCATGTTAACTAATGTACGTGCTACTCTTTTCAAGTTTTTATATGCAAGGATGATCATGTAGCTGTAGAATTTGTAATTGCAAATTTAATCGGACAGTGATAGTTAAACCGAGATAAGGAAAATTCATATCAATAGAATATCAGAGTATTTTCAATTAAAATGACATCGGCTTCTTTGGATAATACATTTTTCAACTTTTTCAAAGTGGCACGTGTGCGCGCGCGAATTCAGCATAATACAAAAAGTGGGGGATATACAGTAATAATAATGTGAAGGAAGATACTAATAAATCGTACTGTCTTTCTTGCCATCTCTTTCCAGATGAATTCACGTTATTCATGTACGTTATATATGGATAAACAAGTTTGATATATTAATGTACTTACAAGAAATTATTTATGCACAGTTGTCCTACAAATCAGTCCTACAAATTGCAGTACAACAAATATAAAATTTTAAATATTCAAAATATATTTACGATAAACGAATGTTATCTACTGTGTGTTCGGGAGAAGTAACTCGCAATATTCTGTGATACAAAGAATATATGTATGTAGATTCTATGCACCACAGAACAAACTTGCATGTTTATTTTATCAGAATTACTATATATATATATTACATTATATAGCGTATCTTTAATTTATATCATCTTTAACACTGGAAATGATTTTCTAATTTTTTTTAGGCGCTTTGTGATAAACTTTTATTTGTGATATTTTGTTCACGTTATCATTGACTTTGTAAATAAAATCCTATTGGATGTTTAACATACCGTACACACTGTAGGATCAGAAAGGAAAAGAAAGACTTGTTTAAATTATGTTAAGAGTATTACGATTCTTTTAACGATCCACAAAGCATGCAGCAAGTTCTGTTGCATTGATACAACTTGATTCCTTTACATTACTGTTATACGTAGTGATAATACTTCATAATTGTCGAATATTTTTCTCTTTTCTGCATTAAAATAGAATATATTGAATAAACACAGAGAGTATCATAACTATGTTGTAAAAGTGTCTGAAACAATGATCAAGAAGTTTGAATAAATGCAAGAGGAATGTTTTCCAATGTATGAAACTGACTAAAATTCGCACCTTCGCCGCTCGTAAAGATATGTACTGAACATTGAATACACATTTCTTGTGAATCTTTACCTTCAATTAACACCATTCAGTTCTCCTTGAGTTGCGATCAGTATTTCGTCGTTGATATGTAATGAATAGTTTGCAAGTTTTTGAGGTGAGGAAAATGTTCATTATATTAAGATGTTGTTTCGATCAATAAATCAAATATTTTATAAAGTAAAAAAATCATTTTAATATTACAAAATTTTAATATATGTTCAAAAAATTGATTTATCATTCTTAGAAAGCTACATATTCAATTAATATGTTTATTTGCGTCCCAAAAACATGTATAAATCGTCTGTGTCGCACAAATCCTCGTACAAAATCATAATTACTATTGTCTAACTTGAATTATCGTCCTTGAAAAGCTATATATTCATTTACTATATGTTTGAGCACATTTGCGTCCCAAGAACACGAATATAAATCGTCTTTACACCATGCGAGTCCTCGTACAAAATCGTGATGATTATTATCTTCGTATATCTTCATCAATTCTTTTTGGGTATCAAGTACTTTTACCAATGTGTTATCAAAACAGCATGCTAACTGTTCTTTCCTGGAAAATAGATAAGTTATCATAAATTTATTATCGTCAAAAGAGTATACTGTATAAATAATATTTTGTATATTATAAGAGCTATATATTGTACAGACAAGTAAATTGATATTTCTGATAAATTCTTACCTCTCTGGAGTTGGATTAAATAGCAGCTTGTGTACACCTCTATCACATTCGACCGACTCGCATAACGGAGTTTCTGTTTGCCTAATGTCAATTATTGCAATGCTGCCTTCAACTGTACCTATTGCTATGATATTTTCCAAAGTAGTATTCCAAGATACTGCTGATAAGGGGCAATTATCTTTCTTGAAGATACCTTTGTGTGAAAAATAAAGAGAATTATTTTTTAAAAAAACATAATAAATTTGAAGATATTAGAAAAAAAATATACATATACATAAATATACATACAACTCGCCGGTTTGGCTCGTCTAATATCCCATAGTAATGATTCGCTATCTAAAGAAACAGATACAAATATAGAACTGCACATAGGCTTCACGTCTGTACCAGTGATTATGTCTAGATGCGCAAAGCTATACGAGTATGTCGCGATTAAATCTTCTACGTCCCACATTTTTAAGCTGAAACAAGCATAAGATTATAAATCATCTCTAGCTGACATAGGTCTATTGGACTCACTCAATTATATCCTGGAGCTGACAGTGGGTCTACTGGACCCACTATGATTTGGTTGTTTGAATAAAAATTATTTTTATTCCAGTAAAAATAATTCAATTTCCTCTGTGAAATATTATTAAGATAAAAATTGTATTATTATATTTGAATTTACTATTAGTTCTTAATTCTTGTATCTATTATTGTAGCAATGTGCCATTTTACACAAAAATGTTGAACAATTCAATTTTCTGTATGTTACATCTGGAAGTTCTAATTGTAGTCTTTTGAAATTAATGACTTTTAAAAAAAATCAAATGGATATGCAACCCATGTAATAAATGTTGATTAAAAGGTACTAATTAATTTCAAGAAATCAAAATGACATAACTCATATAAAAAAGAATAAATACTAAGTTTATTTTAATAAAAATACTAATAAGATAGGCTTTACCTATCTTACTATTTTTCCTTTATCCTTGGCTTTTAGTTATAGACTCAGTGTTTTTAGCGTCAGCTCCATAGGGTTAACATCTTGCTCTAATAATCTCTTCCTTGCTCGTAATATCATATATTTTAGAAACTTCTTACCAACAATCCATTCCTCCTGTGACAATGTTTCTCTGATTGGAAAACGCGGATACCGACAGAATGCTGTCGTCGTGCTGACATACATATCCGAGAAGCTGTAACTCAGATTGCTCGTCTATTTCAACTGCCTGATAAACCCGTACAGCACCGCTGTCCTCCGCAATGACAAATGTGTTCTCGTTCAGATAAGCAGAATCACAAACGCCATTGTCCATCCGTTGCTTTATGGCGGCTTTCTTTCGAGAAAAGTCCGAGATATCCTTGTAATACCAGAGAGTACCATTCCAGTAGAGGTCGACCATATTAGTGCCTCCGAGAATAGCATTGTTTTCTACAACAGAAAGCTGTTGAGCTATAATTGCTAATTATAACTAATTGCTAACTCGTACACTTAAAATAAAATTTCTCAGAAAATATAAACCAATACACACAGTAACATTACATCAATATTATAATTTACCACTTAATAATATAAATGTGATATAATACATGTTGTATATAACGATTATATTATTGAGTAGGAAATTATGACGTATTGATGTAATGTTAGCGTTCGTGTCCTGTGATTTCGTAACTGTATAATTTCATAACTTTTCCATAATATAAATAATAACTTTATAATTGTATAATCAAATTCTATAATTTTATAGCTATATAATTAATTCTATAACTTTATAGCTATATAATTAAACTCCATAACTCCATAACTGTACAATTAATTCCATAACTTTACAACAATATAATTATAACTCCATAATTTTATAACTATATAATTAAACTCCATAACTACAAATGTATAATTTGACTCTATAACTTTATAACTATATAATTAAACCCCACAACTTTATAACTATATAAACTCCATAACTATATAACTAAACACTCCGGACACACTCTTTACCATCGTAAATCGAGAAAAGCTGTAGATGCTTGATGTCGACGGACGTTCGGTTTTCTAGGAATGCTAAGTTTCTGAAAAGATCCCCGTTCGGGATCGAAGCACTATATGTGTTCATCGCAAACCGTCTATTGAACTACTAAGGATGAGGCAAAAGGATCAAATTTTGTGACGATTCACAATCCCCGTCGAGAAATTTCTTTTTCTCCACCGTGTCGGAGCATCGATTCTCTGAGATTCTTTTTCGGAGCAGTTCCCAGATTGGTGGGATTTATACTTGTTTAATCTCTCCTTGAAGTTTCACGACGCCTAGATATCAATTCTTTTCCCTTTCAGATGATTTTGCCCAAATTTCCACATGACAAAGTTGAACAATCCTCCAAGAACAGCCGATAAGGTTAGGCACGCGTCCACATACAAAACGCGCGCAATAGTTTCGGTCTGCGCGTGCTCGTTGGAGTACAATGGTCTGGTTTTTTCAGCCGAATTTTTCACACCGTTCATCTTTCCTCTTTTTCTTTTCAACACGAAGAGAAAATGAGAAAAGAGGTGAACGGTGCAAAAGTGCGTTCCGAGTTCGCATGAAACGCACGATGTATCATTTTATCCTTCTTTATTATTTGGTGAACAACAAGAACGAATGATGCATCATGCGCTTTATGCGTAATTCGGAACGCATCCCAAGAAGTTCAGTTTAAAAGGAATCAGAATGAAAGGTTGAAGCGAGACAGAGCAAGAACCCTATAAGCGCATAATATTATTTAATATTAAATAATATTTTAGGCATATATTCTCAGAATATTAAATATAACATTTTAATAAAATTTTACTAAAATTATATAATATTAAATAATATTCCTGAAATATTAATGGATGGTTATATGTTCACTCCTAATAATATTATATGATTATTAAAAGTAAAATTTGTTTAATGTTACTGTAATATCGTATAAACATTAGAAAGTATTATAACAGCATTTACTTTAATTTGTAAAACTGTTACATCTGTTTAGTATAAGTATACGTTTAAAAACTAAAAATGATTTTTGCTCTCAGTTGTAGAACTGGATATGTACTTAAAATCACGTTTTTTTAGCACAAGATGCAGCATA